TATAGATTGTACATTTAATTACAATTTTAATAGTATTCTCTGCTTCTTTGGTTAAGTTTTTTTTTTAACTTGAAGTTACCAAAACTGCAGTAATGAATATGTTAATAGTGTATGCTAAAAAAAAAAGAATGTATCACTTAAAGGCTGCAACTTATTTAGGTTTTGTATAAAGAATTCCATCTTTGTGCAATATTTCTGTGTTAGCTCATCAATACCGTCCTTTTTTTCAGTGGGTAAGTTTACAGCCTTGTAGTTTTAAAGTATGGGGCTGATTTCTCTGCAGTGGATAGAGCACTTATGGGACATTGTGTAGCTTTGTGCTAAAAAAACATCAGAAAGAAATATAAAAAAAAAGAAATTCAACCATTTTCAAACATCAGAGCATCTTTAAGGTGTCTATTGAACAGCTGCATATATGAAATTTCAAAATTTAAGAAAAATAACACTTCTAACTCCGTTTCAACAATTTTTTAGCTCAGAAATATTTTAGAATTGATATTTTGCCATTTTGTAACACTTAGTGTAATTTGCAAAGAAAAATGAAGAAATTGGTCAAATGTACATTTATACGCAGCTCTGAAGAGTCTCGATTGAAAATAAATCTGTGTATATGTGTACCTTGCAAATACATTTAAATTTTTCTGACTCTTATGAAGTTAGAAATTCAGTTACATCAGTTGTTATATTCTTATCTCCATCCAAGCTGTACATCAGTGAATCTATAAAAGGATTAAATCTGAAGTGCTGGGCATGGCCTAGTGGTTAGCATACCAGACTGTAATTCTGAGAGTCCATGGTTTCCATCAAAGTGTGTAAAATCATTCTCTGTGGCTTGGGATCATATGTGAATTATAAGAGTAGCAGTCAGATCTGAACAGAATAACTCGAAACATATTGGTGGTTATGGTTGATTAGTTGCATCCCCTCTAGATAGGGACAAATAGCCCTTTAAGTAGCTTTGCACAAACCACCCAACAACTACTTAAAAAGCAGGCTGTATCACTTTTTTTATTCTTAGCTATTTTTTGCTTATTCCTTATAAAGTTGTTGTTTACCACGTAGGAGATGAACTAGTGTTTCTTGACCCACACACAACCCAACCAACAACTGTCCTTAATGCTGATTCTCCTGACGATGAGAGCTACCACTGTTGCTATGCTAGTAGAATGGCTTTCACTGAATTGGATCCTTCCATTGCATTGGTATGTTTTTTTAAAGCATTTTATGTGTTGCTTTGTAAATGAAACAAAGAAACATTTTTAAATACATGTTAATTCTATATATGTAAGTGTGCATATATTTAAAAATGCATTGCACGTAAAATTTGATAACAAAATGGTTATTTTTGTGAAACATTTGTTTAGACTGAATTTATATGCTAGTACTTTTGATGTAGCTTTATTAGAAAAAGGATTAAACAATCTATTAGCACATTGGAATTAAAATGATTTTTCCAAGCCCGTTCCCTTGGCTGTGGTTTCGCTAAATAAACTTTATTTGTCTGGATTTCTAACTGTGTAATGAGAGAACATTTTTGAAAGGTTACACTTTCAAAGATTTTTTGGTTCTTGTGAGAAAACTTCTTAAGGTTGCAGTTTTTAATATTTATGGTTCTTATGAGAACAAGAATTTCTGATTTCTACATATGAATGAATTTTTTTTTAAGTTGAATATGGCAAAAAAGTTACTCCTTGGTTTATGTATTGCTGTACCTTAACTTTATATAGGGTTGGTCAATTTGACCAACCTCGTAACCACCATAAAAAAAATTAGGAAATAAATCTAAATTACTTCTTTTTCTTTCTAGAATGACTGCAACTTGTAACAGTATACATCTATTTATACTTAATTTTATTGTTTTATTGACCTTTGAACTGTGTCTAACTAATAATCCTGCCACACAAATTGTAAATTACTCGGCAAATATGTAACTCATGTTACTGCAATGAATTACTTAATGCATGAGCTGTTTGCAATTATACTGCATGAAGAATTATTATTATTCATTATTTTACATAATCTAACCTAATATGTTTCTTAGTATTACATTTTAATTACTTTTATAATAATAAATAAAGAATACACATCAAAAACAAGAAATATAGTACTTACCTCATTCTTCTCTCTTTTTTGCTCTTTACTGTTGATGAAACATAAGCCTACTTTTTTACACTAATGGTAGTACTACATTAAATAATTGGTTTAATTAAATACTGCACCTAAGAACACACAATAATAACTTGCAAAAAGTAAACAATGTCCTACAAATAAACTTTATTTGTCTGGATTTCTAACTGTGCAATAAGAGCCAATAAAAATTCAGCTAAGCTCATTGATGTGATTCCCGTGAGAAGAAATTTGAAAATGAATGATAAAATGGACAATTCCCTGTACAGGAAACAACATAATATGTCATTTGATAGATTAAAACTTTGACTTTCTATTGGTTATAGATAGTATAGTATAAAATGTCAAAGAAAACTGTTGTCAATTTATGAAAGAGAGAATGTTTATGGTCCTGTAAACAACTAAGATTGAAGGCTATAAAAATTATGCTTTGCCTGAGTAATATTAATATTATAATGAGTAATTTATGTTAAATTCTGAACATCTTGGATGAGTGGTAAATAAATTAGAGAAGAGGGAGACCTAGAGAGCAAATGCCATAATTATCATACTGGGGGAAATTGAGGATTGTTTTAAATATTTCCTTATAAAATTAAAACTTATTAAAATTTGGTTTATTAACTACATTTTGATGCCAAGTTTATCTGTATCATGAACCATGATAATGATTCATAATAGGAAATGCACAAAACCCTAAAAGAAAGTTCAAGCAAAAAAACACATAAAACAGAAAAGATTCAGTTCAAACAACACTTTAAAACCTTTACTATTGACTGCTAAAGCTATATACATATAAAGATGGAAAAAAACATGCATGTTAGACTTGCAAGGAAAAGAAAATCTGCTCAAAATGGCCCTCTTGTAATTCTTCATAAGCTAAAAAACATCATAATTCTAGTGTTAAACAATGTTATCTTTACCCCTTGAAGTTAGCTTTCTTACAAATATCTGGTGTTCCTCTAAACAGCTTAAGTACATGGTGAAATAGGAATTACCAGCCAATAATAGATTAACATTAGATGAATGTAACATGTAGGTACTCAATACTTTGTACACTATACAATTGATGTCTTTAGGGAGTCAACCCCTATATCATTTATGAAGTGTAGGAGTAAAAAGAAAATTCAGTTTGATTACACACATTCATATGATAATTACTTTAAAAGACACAAAGGTATATTTAAAGCAATGTTTTACACGTATATATATTTTATTTGAAAAGGCTGCTTTTCTACTGGTAAAAGTTTATATGCGCATAGTGGGGTTGTGTCTTAGTGTAGGGATATAGTTGCACATTGCTATGCATTATTTACAGAGAATTTAGTTACACAGAAACTATATTCTCAAACAACTCTCCATGACAATTTCCAACTACCTCTTAACATTTTACATCTCTAACTAATGCGATAAAATAGTCAATAGCTACAATAAATCATCATGAACCATATCAGCCAGCTACTAACTATGTTTATTATCATTACAATGTATAAAGTTAGCTACCATATCAAGTCATCCTTTGTTTATAATTGAGCATAAAAAAGCCAGCACACAAGATAAATAAAAAGAATTGGGTATTTAAAAACCTGCCAATAGGGATCGTAAAAAAAGTAAGGCTGGAGATACTGTAGACATTATTTACTCAAACTAAAAATTCCTATTTTGACTCCACCAAATGTAATTCTGGGAAACAGCCTGGAGTCAAAATAGGGTTTGTAGTTTGATAAATATTGTCTACAGTATCTCCAGCCTTGTTTCCTTACTCTTTTTTTAAATTGGTTTTTAAATTCCCAATTTTTAATTTTTTTGTACATTGATAAAAATATAGTTTAATTAAATTTTAAATGTGACCTAACCGTTGCATAAGGGTTAACGTATTAAGTAAAATTTTAAGACTCGGCCATAAAAAGTAAATGTATTCTTGTTTACTGCTCCATGTACTAATTCATATAACCAGTTATTAGTTAAATTTGTCTTGTATTTGATAAGTTAATAGTTTCAGTAATCTTGTTGGGATATAGTAAGTTCATGAATCTGTTGTGTTTTTTTTGTTGTTGTTGTTGAGTGTACTGCCTAGTAGCAGGTTAAATGAACTGTCATTAATAGATAAACAATAAATATTACAGTTGGAACCTCATTGTATTTAAAACTTGTTTATAAATACAACCTTCCTATGTCTATTGAAACACTACATTAAAAAACAACAACAAGCAAATGAGTAAAGAAAACTTTGCAGAAAAAGGAAGTA